TCATTTGCCAGATTTCGTCAAATTTAGTCGCGACACCGTCTCTGTAATGTTATATACAAATCTTGTAAATCTACTTTGCTTACTTCATATTATGAAAATGTAATTGAATTTATAAGAACATAAGTTCAGTCATGTTCCTATGCTGGATGTCAGCAATTTCTGATGACGCTATAGGTATACACTGTAAGCATGTGAATAATACGTGTATTGTATGTTTATATCTATATTCTTATCTGATTATACACTGATGTAAAAATGCCATGGGGTCTGAAGTAATGCGCCTTTGATTAATATCTGTTTTATGAGTATTTTTAGGTCAGTATTTTAATACATTTTATAATGTTTATACAAGAAAAATTAAGCTAATAATAGTAACTTGATTTAAAAATAATTTTCAATTATTGAAGGTCCGTTGTATATTAATGATTTATATTTTTATTGTTTTGTTTTGTTTGGATACATCATGTGGGGTCCCATCTTTTGTGATATTTGTATTGTGGATCAACTGAAGATTAACATGCAATATACAGGGTATATAATTTTTACCTATATTAATAGATTTCTTTATGTAATAAATAGTCTATGAAATATAATATGTTATATAAAGTGGAAATCCGTAACGCCATAGTGAAGAGAGACTCATGTAGCGGTTAATAGTTTCAAAGATATCATCGAAATACTAGTCACACGGAGTTAGTGACGGGCAACCACTCGTATAGTTTCGCCGACTAGTTTTTAAAGCCTATCAATTTCAGGTGCGTTTTGTCGACAATTATTTGAACATGCATTGAAATGGCACATTATAGATTTTTATCGGATACGTGAAAAACTGACATCTGCAACAAAATGTCGTCTATTTACACATAATAAAAAGTATTTGATTTTTTTTTTATTCTCAGCCTGAAGATGTATATTGCAGATATATTTTTTACTAGAATTATACAAATTAAAATGAATTGTGTTAAATAATTGCAGAAATATTGATGTATTTCTTTTTTTTAAATAAGAAATATTCCGTTTTTAATAGATCACTGAAATGCATTTTTTTTATTATTTTATAGTATCCATAGCAATTATGTCTTTGTTTCCTTCGATGCATATTGAAAACCGAATATATCTAAGAATATATATTCTTTTTCACACGTGTTTTATTAACATTTATTTTTTCTTAATTTTTAAAAAATATAGAACAGGTAATATCTTTTCAAAGGGATTAGATTAGTAAATAGATATAATATTATTAGATTAGAGTAAAATGAAATAAGCTAATACCACCATTAGTCAAATGTAACTAAGCATCAACGAATGTGACATGCGGTCCAGCATATTGATGGGTGCCTTAAATTTAAATCCCTTTTTTAAAAAAATATGGCTTTGACCCTCAGGCTATTTTATAATACCAATGATCGAGGCAGTTTTGTTTTTTCAAAATGTGCTAAGTTTATTGTTGAGTGACCCGGAACCCTACAAAGAGCCGATTAGTCGAATAAGTGATTATATGAGACATTTAGGTACCTCCCCCTCACAGCGGGTCCATTACGCTCAAATATATTTTTCAGAGCCCCTTTAGTTGATATGACCCTCGGTACTCGCACTATTTAGGAGACTGGTCAAAGAGTTGGACGGTTCTGCCCGAGTGAGTTTAAGCGACCCGTACTTTGTCGATGACAACAAGTATTTAGTATCTTTTAATATTTTAGTCGCTTCGTGGCTCAGGTGCGGGACATACGTGTTTTACTATTTATAAAAAAAAGGAGACTGAACAATTTATACATCGTGAAATATGCAGACGAGTTGGCCGAACTTTAACCCGGCACCTCATTTTGGATATCGCTGTACTTCTAATTTTATGAAAGATCAGTTTTCAGGTAAAGCGACCATTTTTATATTTATAAATTATATGTTCATATATTGGACATATTTAATAATAACAATCAGAACAAATGCCATACTGATTTTTTTTTTAATATGGCCATTTCAAGATTTGATTTATTTTATTGTCAATTGATTCATTTGCTAATGATTTTTACGATTCGTTCTCAACCTCATTATTACACTAGTAATATGAGATAATTTAATAGTAATGTGTATAGTTTATAACTAGAGTATAATTTCACACGAGAATATATAATTTTATTTGAACAAGACCATTTACTTCATATCTGTTACAGCATCACCAATAATATAATATGGCGTATTTCTTCTATTTGTCTAATACAATTTAGCTTGCCATTTGTATAATTAATCGTGATTTACGCTATTTTCCATTCTGATTTTTTCTGGCTTTTTTTATTTGTGAATGAGCTTGAGTTACTTTTGTCTATAAATTCCTGTATTCCACATTCTCCTGTTAAAGTTATTGTGTTAAATGGTATGTGTAAATAAAATGTATTTCATTTGATTTGAATGAATATTTAAAGCCCTGTAACGCACTTAAGGGAATATCGGCTTGATTTAACGGCAAGTTTTCAGCGTTCGGTTTAGTTGACTCTCTTGAGGAAAAAATGGCTGACTTTTCTATACGTTTATTATGCTCAACGATGATAGTTATAGATACATAAGATACTTTGGTTTACATAGTTTACATATGTATGTACGATACGGAAACAACATTAGGTAACACAAGAGCTTTGATCTGTGCCTCTCGACGACTCCAATATTTATTTACACAGCGCCAATTGTTGTCTTTTTCTTACCGTTAAATACATACTATGTTTATTTCATATGCCTGGTAAACACATCAACGACAGGGTAATTCACTGTTTTCTAAACATTCGCATAACATTTGATGCTATGATTTTCTGCTTAGGTCTTTAGGAAGCGATAGTTTTTCTCTAGTGCGTAGAATGGTTTATTTTTCCTTCGCCTAAAAAAAGATCTGAGGAATGTATTTTTAGTAATTATGTTCAAATGAATATTTTCACGCCTACGTCTTTCTGAAAATATACTTAACAACACAGAATCTACAACTTGAAATAATTTAATTAGAGAAAGTGCATAATGCAAGTATTATGCACTTACTGCTGTCTTTATTAACACTTAATATTCTTTATTTATTCTGGTTTATGGAATTAGTCTTTAAAGAAAAACAAGTTTAATAAAAATTAAAATTAAATTGCGTATATGTTAACGTTCTTTATTATTTTTTTTTACACTATTTTTGTTCTAGGTAGCTTGGTATACAGGGTTCTATTTTAGTAACTTGAATTCATCAGTTTTTAGTCCTATTATTCAGTATTCAAGTTTGAATAAAATTTCTTAAATTATATCATATTTTAAAAATATTATAAGAGCTGAAGGGTGTTTTTGTTTAGAAGAACATGTAATCGTATCTCATATTCAAGTGAAGATCCACTTTTTCTTCGCTTTTTTAAAAAAAAAAGTAATAATTAAAATGAACACTTAGCTTACTTGTATAGCTATTGAGAACGCCTCTATCTTTATCATAAAGGGGGGAAAACTTAATATAAAATAGGGGGACTAGTTGTAGTAAATTTGTATGAGACTTGTTGAGTGGATGATTGAATCTCTTTGTATTATAGCATCTCGTTAAAATGTTAGTTGAAAGCAGTTGAGTAAGGTGGGTTGGGTAGATATACTACATAACAACACACAGCGTTGAATAGGCTTTTGCTTAGAAATAAATGGAAGTCAGTGAAGCGAGCGAATAACTCCCTTGTTAAGTTCCGTGTGTCTTCTATGTGTAAAATAATGTATTTTGTAATATGTTTTTGTATTTTAATACGAGTACTAAAACTTGAGACAGACAGGCGATATAAATGTTTTACCTATGGAAGCTCTCACTATACTAACAATTTACCAATAGTGATTCGGCGATTTCAGAAACTACCACGCTGACTGGCAATTGCTGTCTACAGATTCTTTCAGAGAATGAGTTTAAACGGTTGAATGTACCGTTCGTACGTTTTTGGTAATTCCAGATATGGGACACCAATGTAATTTCCATAAGGCCACTTGGGACTGTTGTTTATTTGATGTTGAAGGATGATTCCTAGTTTCAAATGAATCTCTGGGAGTGCTCATCCATCTTATTACAAACATTAAAATGACAATTTATAAAACTAATCAGTTTGAAATTTTTGTTCCATATTTCTGAAATTTATGAACTTTTTGAACTTTCATATCAGCATCATGCCCAAATGGCCTTAAACATTGAGGTTTTTTTCAGGTTCAATTTAAGAGTTACTAAGAATTTTAACTCACACTATCCGAAACACAATAACCTTAACACTAATTAAAGGTTATATGACAACGTGGATAATATTTGAATATGAATACTTTACATTTAGCTCTATCAACAACCGATTGAGATTTAAGTAAAATAAAAAATATGCAAACAGTTTTATGGCTGACTACCCAGACAAACTCTGATATAACCAAGAATATCTGTAGGAATCTTATTTTCTGCAAAATACCAAATATCCATAATAAACATATTAAATAAAGTTAGATATTCCCACATTATAGAACGTAGGACCAATTAAGATTTTAAACTTTGATAAATACCACGGTCGAATAGACATGTTAAAAGTTGAAACTTGATAAACGAGTGTTAGATGATCGATGCCAGGATGATATGAATATATATGACAGAAATATAAGATAGTTTTCTCAGTGTGTCGTTAATGCATTACTCATTACAAACGATGGGCTATGCAGAACAAACCATAAACCACAAGTTTCCATTTAGAGTTGATAGTTTTAATTAAAACCAATTCACTGTTTACAGATATTTGAATTTAATATTTTAGACCAGAACTAGTTGTATATCTTCATCAAATTATCCACGACCTAAAGATCATAGCTGCTATGGTGGTTATATTTTATCTTTATCAAAATGGTCGCTCTTAAGGACAATGAAGAATTGAGATATTGTTTATTGTCTTTGTACTTCTCGAGTTTTGGAATAAAGATTTTTGTTATCAGGTAAATGATGTTGACAAGGTTAATAATGTAATATGATATTTTGTATATTTTAGGTCATGGAGGAGTGAATCAACTAGGAGGAGTGTTTGTAAATGGTCGACCTCTACCAGAAGTAGTCAGAAATCGTATTGTAGATTTAGCTCATCAAGGCGTAAGACCATGTGATATTTCTCGTCAATTACGTGTTTCTCATGGCTGTGTTAGTAAAATATTAGGCAGGTATGTACACCTTTTGAGAATCTAATCCTTAAAGCAGAACAGGGTAGAGTAATCTCCTCTTATCTCCAGTTACAAATACAGGAAGGGGTTTCCTCTATATAATTACAAATACTATACCCCTAATTTGAACTCAACCGAGTTTCCTCTTAAAATAGTAAGATAGGAAGCCGAGGAAAAATTTAATTGAATGCAAAATTTAATATATGTTGATATATTTAACCAATGACAGAGATTTTCTCGACTTCCGGTTAGTATGTTCATCTTAAATTAACATTGGTTCATCTTTCTAGAACGTTCTAATGCAACCACTCGAATCCACGATCCAAGAAACATAATATCTATATTATCACTAAATGAAAATTAGATTTGTATGTTATAGTTTCTCAACAATTGTGTGTTCAATCCATTTCTCTGATTTACACAGATAAAGACCGTCTGGTCAGCCCGCCTACCACTTGACAAGCATATAATAACATCACTACACAAAAAACAGTATATAGCAATATGATGTATTTGATACCAAGGCTGTATATAACAGTGTAGTGTTAAAACATTGACGACCTTCAGTTCCCATTATAACACCTTTTACTGATCGAGCCCAATTTTCTAGATGGCCTTTAACTACAAGCGCTACTATTGATGAAATGTTTGTCATCCATATTTTCCCTCTATTGTGTGACTATAATGTTTTGTGTTGAAACGAACAGTCCTGATATGAAAAGCATTAATTTACTTGATTGCACGGTCCATATTCTCTTGCCTGCTCCGGGCTACAAATATTATCAAAACTTGCTATCAGTGAGGATAAAAAGCGACTTGAGCTCTTGTCGTTCTGATAATAACGATTTGTGTTTATTTCAATTATCCTCCTTCGGCTCGCCATATTTTTCCTCCAGTAATGGTAGAAATTTTTTTCATTAAAATCGACGAGTTTTCTTTAAACTAGAAAATATTAATTTCACAGGTGTGCTAAAACACGAAGAGACAAGAGAATAGTTCGGTTTATTTTAATACGAAAATATATCTCACGCGATTCCAATCTAACTCATGACTATATTTAGTCACCAACTTTCCGAAAAAGATTTTTTTTTCCTGCATAACTTATTGTCTTTACGAGTCACACTTATGAAGATTCCATGAATTTTGAAGAAAATTAAGTTTAAGATAACAATGAATAGGATTTTCAAGAATCAAAATATCCATTAAATAATTACTAAAACGTTAAAATATTAAGCTTGATATCGACAAGTCGATAAGAAAAATATCCGTTTAAAAACGACCCTGTATAGATTTTTATCGAAACGATAGTTGAATGTATTATTGGAGTATGTCGTGTCGGTTGCATGTAAAACGTCTATATGCTGGAAGGTCGTATAATAAATCAGTTCGCGTGACTCGTATCGTTCAGACGCCTATCACAAGTCGAGTTGATAGCAAAGTCTTCTCTTATGTTATTTTACTCCAATTTGGCATCAATGATATTTATGGTTTAATATACGTACAGGGTAAAAAAAACTATCTGGCAGTGATTATTTAGAGGAAGGAGCATGCTCATGTTACTACCAAAACTGAGACATTTTACATGGCGAAAACAGCAACACGCAAACTTAACACTGGATTCTAATTACTTGCTATCAATGCTATCTGATCGGATACGAATAGTCTTTACTCGGGGAATGTTAAATATATTGGAAATAGTTTATATTTTAGAGACATTGGGTACAATATGGTCTGTATATTGGGTTAACATTGAAATTATTAGAACCTTAAATTGGTAGTCATTTATATCCAGTCTTTATTTTACGAAACTAAATAGAACGAATTAGCTTGTTGTCAGTCTTGAGATTGTTAAGTGTATCTGTGATGAAATTGTTGTATTCATAATTGACCATGTGAAGTGGTGTGGAAGAGGGGCCACGGGCGGTGGAATCTTGATACTTGTTAATTCACGAAGCACCGGTCCGAAACTTGCCCAAACAAATGTCATTCGGTACATAACAGAGCATGTCTATTCACAAAATACATGGCGATTGTGTTACATGCCTAGAAATAACATAACAATTTACTCACAAATAGGTATAGAAAATAATGTTACTTTCCTGCCCCTTAATTGCGCCATAATTTCTGAAATGTTTATTTCTGAATGGATAATTGCTAGCCTATTAAATTGTTAATAGCGATTTTAAACACATTTTTTGTCTATATTATGATTTATGAAATGAGTAATTATATATTTGTCATAAAGTACAGGGACATCAATGTTTATTTACATATCAAAATATGAAATAATCAATAACCACTAGTTATTTAATCAAGTCGGTTCTGTAAATAAAAGACTGTTCAGACATTTTTTAGGTCACTTAATCAGATTTTCAGGCCATTTTATATTGAAAACCTGGTAAACAGGCAGGTGGATATTGATAAGAAACTAACTATATAGTAATGAACAAATACACTACCTCAAGTCATTGTGAAAAAATACAACAATTGAAACGAAAGCCAAATAATCGATCATTTAATAATGATATAGTACAACATATTTTCTGCTATACGCATATTTTTATTTGATTTTTCATTCATAAATTCGAGTATTATTAGAATATGCTAATTTCTTGGAATATAAAACCTTAAAATTACAATTTCTTGAGAAAGAAAAAAAATCATCAATCGAAAATATTAAACTAGCAATAATTGTTATTGAATTTCGTATTCTGCATTTTTTCCACAATCTTGTTTTTTTTTCTTTTACAAAGAATCAAAATTTGGTGTCGGTAATAATAACGTATGCGACAGGTTGTTTCCTAAAATATACTAATATTGGAATAATTTACTCCATTCATAAAAGAGTTTTTCTCTGAGTTCAATCAATGTCTAACACATGTTTATAATTCAACTTTTACTGATTGTGAATAACAATTTCTTTAAACTATTGATTTCGGTTTTTTGAATATAGAATAGTTTGAAAATGAACCTGTTACTAAGTTATTGTTCAATTCGTGTAGACTTTGTGCAGGGGTCGTATTAACAGACACGTGGCCTTAATTCAACACAGTTAATTTTTCCACGAGAACATGTTTTTTTATTATCTAAATAAATTTGTATTGGGCATTCGTTCGGGAGTTATAAAATATATTGTCTAGATCAAAATACAATTATTATAATAATTTAAAATCCCTTCGTACTAATTCCAATTTAAATTGATAACAGGCCTTGCCATTGCCAAACATATTGTATTTCGGAAAAGTAAACACGCTCATTTTTTAAAGAATTTACGTCATTTTGTTGGTTCACAATACGATCAATATTGTGAATAAATAGTCGACGCCGTGACCATTATTTCATAATATACATTAATTCATATAAGTCAATTTTCAGAAGACATTGACTATTCATAAATTTATTGGTTTTGCCGTTACATTGTATAGTAAACTAACAAACAAGGACCAGCAAACACCCTTTAAAATAGCCCTCTATTATATGGTAGAGACGGTTAGTCTATGGGCTTTATTGTCTTTTTTTAAAAAAAAGAGCAAGATGTTGGAGAGCAGCGACATCTATGATTGTTGTGATGGAAGGGTAGTTAATGAAGGTATAGAAGAGAAGAGGGGTTCAGGTGTTATATTATCTATGGGTTTATAACAGTGATACTGTAAGAGGGGGTTTTATATTGATCTGTCGGTGTCTAATGAAGTGTTTGGGGTCTTTAGTTAACGACAACATGCCAATAAGAGCCTTAAGCTCAATCCCTTTCTTCTCTCATTTTGCTTCAAGTTGTCGTGGATAGAGAAACCATGTTAAAAACATAATGTTCTACTTTAGAGGCTACATATATATATAGCAGCTGCTCTTATCAACACACTATGTTAATAATACATAATAATAAACATTCTATAATAACATAATGAGCATAATAATAGCACATTATACCAGTTTAAGTACATCTTATCACTAGAAATTATACCCTACTAGGTCTACATACCATCCAATTACACACTTCTCTATACACTATTACACTATAAAGGTTTTTTTTTTTTAAAAATCCAAAAAAAAAGTGAATGCCAGTGTGTTTTTTTTTATATATATAATTTTCTTTCTTTGAATACAGTGTTATTATTTGAATCATTAATTCATTTCATTTTTTACGAGTTCATTTTATTTTATATGCAATTTATTCAATGTAAGTTTATTCTGTTTCTTTATTAAATATTTTGCGATATCTTTAGTCAAATAACGCAATTTATTTAATGATTCGAAACAGTTTAGGTTTGTATCAATAATTATGTATAGCATATATTCGCTTCATTTACTAAATGATGAAATATAAATAATTATCATAAAAAAAACACCACAATAATTAGATACAACGCGAAAAGTTATAAATGAAATTTACATTTGTTTTTCTAACTAATAAATTATACCTGAATCTGATGGGGTTTTTTTTTCTTCAAACGTTAATACTGAACGACGTAATACAGTAGTATGCTATGTATCTATTTCTTGCTAATGAAGTATATAACTATACGATGCATGTCAATCAACGTGATATTAGTAAATAATTATTCACAACATTAATTTCTACATATAAAATTAATGATATGTATTATTTTTGCTTACATTTGTTTGAAAACACTGATGCAATACGTTTATCGTAGTATGACATCGTTAATATGAAGGAAGCCTTTACAGTATTTATCACTATGGCATCTAGTTTTAGGTAGTAACTTTTATGAAAGTTAAACAACCATAATGTTTACCATACTTTATTTGAATTATAAATTATGAATTATTAATAAGAACATATTCTTTTTGTTAAAATGTTATTATTATATCGGGTTTTGAACAATGAAAAACGATAAAAAATATACAATTTGTATAGAAAAATGTTTATAGAGTGCTTAATTTGATATTCAGTTTGTATCTACCGATTCTCTCCCTTGGATATTTTTCCCTTGATATTTCCAGTTTCAAACTCATTACTTCTCAATGGTGAATATAAATAAAGAAATTATGTTTTCATATTATAAAGAATAATGGCTTCTTTCTCACTGTATACTTATCATTGTATACGTATATGCAAATAATATGGTAGAAACCACCGTGCATGTAAATTGCAGATTATACAATGAACAAATATATGTATATACATTTTTCAGTACCTACATTAGGTATACAAACAAGAATTCATTATATATTGCTGTTTTTATATGCGGAAACATAATCTAGGAATAGGCAATGAAAGAAACGTGATGTATATTATCTAATAAACCAGTTACTATTAATGGTCTATTTGTATCCACAATGGGCTGAGATTTCATTATTAATTATTGATTATTTATACATAAATTGTACATAAAACTAAAGTATAAGTTTATTTATAGAGAGATATGATTCATATCCATATTAAGATTCACTGTAACTACCGATTTGGCATTAATTTAGTCAAATAATCCCCCTAGCCATGCCCCACACCTCCGCCTCCAATGTATTTAAAATATCAATTAAAGGTATATGCTTGCTGCATCTGTTGTACAAGTTTTGTCAGAAGTGTTAAAGAATATTTTTCTCTCTGTTTCAGATATTATGAAACTGGTTCTATTCGACCGGGAGTTATTGGCGGGTCCAAACCAAAGGTTGCCACTCCGAAAGTTGTGGATGCCATCACACAATATAAAATTGACAATCCTACAATGTTTGCCTGGGAAATTCGTGATAGATTATTAGCAGAAAATGTTTGTTCCCAAGATAATGTACCCAGTGTGAGTTCAATAAACAGGTAAGTCCAAATGTATATCAGACAAGTTTAGAGATTTCAGAAATAGATTGATAATGTTGCTGGACATTCGGACCCTTATTCAAGGAAACTTCCAACCTGCATTGATTACGGGTTTAAATCCTAGAACAAATTTCAGTTTTTAGTCAATGAAAAGGTTGCTTTCTTAAACTATTTTACTTTAAGTTTTCGTGATTAAGGGCCCCGATACACAGTCAAATTGTATATATTCTGTAATAACTGTCAACTTGAGAGATCTGAGTTATCCTGTCTCCATAACTCTCCAAAACATAAAGAAACAATTAACACATTAAAAACCATATGTAGACTGTCAGTTCCGAAAGTTACTAAAATTTTATTTAAATTTCACATCATGTTGTATTGATTTAATATCGCCATCTTGAATTTCTTGTAATCGTAATGTGACAGATTGAAAACCAAATTTAGACTGTCAGGTCATACACAATACAAAAAGGTAAAAGTAGTCTCATCAAAATGTATATCAACAGAAAGATAGTAAAACGTCTGCAGTGCATTAAAAAACCATAAGGAAATCATAATAATAAACAATTTTTTAAAAACATTTTGAAACATAATTGTCAAATCTTGAATGGAAGACGCCATAAAGGGATGAACTATCTATAAGAGTACCATTATTACAAATCAAATAAAAGTATAGGTAAAAGGTCAGGTGATTTAGAGAAATGCCAATTATAATGAAAGGTACATCTAGCAGGTAATATTTAGGATTAATAGTAAGGACGTGTATTTATAATTTTATTTGTATTGAGTTGTATATATGTCAAAAGTTGATGAGATGTCAGAGGAGAATCAGCGTATACGGAGACGTGACACAAAGATACTATATAATTAGACACTTATAGAAAATGAAAATAGTTCATTGAGGTTCGCAGCATGTTGGACTGACTGACAGACGGTTAAAGGGGTGACGAGGGACGATTTTTTTTCTTTTGTAAAAAGTAGGTAATAATATATTAAACGTAATTAAACCACCAGCTTCTACAACTACATGTACTATAAAAATACTCTTACTTTTTAAAAAAATGATAAGTGTACAGTTCATTCAGTAATATTTTCTTTTCTCATAGAGATGTCATGTCAAGTTTAAATCCCTTACTGCATTACGAATGTCATTGAATTAAATAATTACTTGACTTCTTCAATTGTAATTGAACAAAATTAAATTTCAGTTCGAAAAGAAATTCAAATAATGATCAATTTCTGAAAATAACAATCATAAATTTATCCTTGTTTTATGTTGAAATATGATAATGTACCCCCACCCTTGTTATTTAATTATTAAATGTTTTATTTGACTGATATCTTTTATTCCTTTTTTATTTCTGAAAGAAAAATGAAAGTAAATCATTATTTTTTGGAAGATCTCAATAGAATACCCTAATTCCTTTCACAATGCGAACCTATAAAAGTCCATTTGTACTCTCTTTTAACAAATGAACAAAAAAAACATGGGCTATCTAATCAACTTTTATTCAACGGCCAAAAAAATATCAAAAGTGATTAACTTATCAAATTGTTTAAAGAAAAAGAGTGGAGATTAATGTCAATTTTCAATGACTTTTTTTTAAAAGTCAAAACATCTGTTATGGATTTAGATTGTTCATTTTATCTTAATCAAGTAACCCCGTGGTCAGTGTCATCAGGGGTAACGTGTTAGGGTGTTATTAAGGGCATATCACAGAGGGGGTTGGACACAATACATGCTATGCCATTCCCTTCCCTCCCTATTTTCTTTAGAAAATGTTTTATCGAATAGTCTAAGATGCTTTGTTGATCGTCAGTACATTCGCTGTATGAGTTTTGGCTTCGCAGTATTGCACTGCAATTTAAAAACTAATAACATTTTATGTTAAGAAATGAAGAACAGTTTACAAAACCAGAACTAAAGATATTCCAAACTAAAATTGATATCGTGTGTTATTGTAGGTCTAATGTAAGATTTAATCGGTGACACCATCTATATATAAAGTCTTTTTTGATAATCTTCAAAGCTCAGAAAATCCATTTTTTAATGGATAACAGATATAAATCAGGCTTCATTTTGTGCTTACTGAATATCTGGGTTATATGAATAGCCTAAATATTTACTCGAACAGAAAGCATTCCTTTATGTTAATTATAAAATGGACCAGTTTTATTTAATGTCAGTTAGAATATACACGTACCCCAATTGTTTAGAAATACACGTATATTAGTAATCACATGTATAATAGGTACTTATAGTTTGTAATTTAAAGCGAAAACAACAAAATTCTCATCCATCGTGATGACTCGACCCATTCCTCAAGATTTATAAAGTTTTAAAAAGAAATCAAGGTGGTATATAGATAATAATAGACAACAAGTGGTACGCTGTTATCATTTATCAGAATCTCCCATACTACAAGTCCCACCTACCATTTGGACTCTAAATCTACCCTTTTAACTTTTAGAACACAATGAGCTATCAAAATATACCATATATATCGCTATTTTCATACCCCCCATTAACTACCTTTTTATCCCAGATCCCATCTTGCCGCGAGCTATATACTACTTGGACGCTTTTATTTAAACTGATTTATCTTTATGCAATTTCCATTTATATCTCGATCGTCTGTTCTTCTCTCTTCTTGCTAAAACCAATCCTTCATAGTACCTTTTAATGTGGTTGCAGCTAAAATCATATCTCCGAACTCCATTCAATTCGGTGGACTTCAAAAAGAATCATGTTACTGTTATGTTTGCATTTTATTCTTGTGTCCCAGCCTATGTATTTATAGTCAAATTTTATGTTCCCTTCAGATTTGCTCTGAGACTATAAAATCGTCTTTACCGCCCCCTATATCGGTTGGACATATTCGCCATTTGACTATTTCGAGTTACGATTACAATGAATTACAGATCCTCACACGAGTCAAGTGGTCCTCGAATTCTAAAGACTGCTGATCTAGTATTGTCAGACACTTCGTTTGTGGTCTTTGAACACTGGCTCAGTTCCAGCAATGGCCTACAAGTTCAAATCACCCTCGATTACAAAAGAGTTACGCCACACTTCATGCCAGATTTGTTCTGTTTGGGTCTATTATTTCAACAACTATGAGATCCCTTTATTGCCGCGCACTACAAATGTTCAAGTTATACACCCAAGAGCGAGGTGCCGCCATGCGTAAGGGCCTAATCAATCAAATGCTCTTTAAATGTTGCCGAATTTTGCTACAGCTGTCAGGAATATTTTCTGTTTAGAGCGTTTCAGTTCTACAAAATGCAAGATTTGCCTGACTTATGCGTATCAATTTTTACTAAATTACTTTTTTGGGATATCTATTTACTTCTGTCATCTGGGGGGTCATCCAGTGTAGAAACCTCAGCTTGGCTTATATACCGTTGTTTGATTATTAATATAAAATTGGACATAAACCTTCCCCCTGTCTCACACCAATCGCTTGCGCTTATATGTTTATAATATAACATAAACATCTCAGCAGATGGGATATAGGGGTTCCCCTTCTGCTTCAGTGACCAGTAAGAAATTATTTCATGTTGTCGACTGGCTGTTCAAGAAGAGAAGAGTCGAATGTTAATTAAACGAGGCTAATTTTGCGCTAACAATTGAACTGGAAAAGTATAATGAATACAACTAATACTATTCAAACCGTTATTTCAACTTCTTAATGATTACGCTGAAAAAAGCCCTGGCCTCTCATTACTCTTGTCCTTTTCAGCGTTTTACGGCCACTGCGCCTTTAATACTGTACTCAATGTATTCTTACCGGGCGAAATCGAATTTTGCGAGTCGGTGATCTTCCTCTTAACCGATACAAAAACCTTCCATATTTTGCCTTTGTCATTGGTGTTGAAAAGGATTAATAAAAAATACAATATAATGTTGAATAGTTGATGATGAATTTCAAGTAACTTAAGATCTGTCTCTCTCTCCCACATGTCACATATTTTCCTCTTAAGAAATGAGAGAACTTCGTGCCCCTCGCTGTCAACATGAATTAATTTTCACTTTTTATCTTTTCAAAACATTAAAGACATGCAAACAAATGATTATTAATTATAAGAGCCAAAAGCCCCACTACAGACATGGAACGCCCTAACAATACGAATAAAGACAACATTTTGTTAGGCATTTGGTTTCCTTTACGCTTTTGATATTGACTTCTGAGTTCGGCATTGTATGGAAACGGTCATAAAAACTGTTCATTCGAATTTGTTATATGTATATTATTTAGCTAGAGTTAAACTTTAATATCTGGAGGATCAACAGACGGTATTTTTCAACGATCAAAGGAAAAAGAATTATGTCCCCTCGCTACACTTTATATCAACATATCACAACAATAACGTGTTTAGTTCGCTTGAGAAGAATACAGGGGGTGCGGATTAGTACTAATCGAATGATTAGGTTCACTATAATAAAAGTAATCCGTACATCTCAAATGGCGTTCCCCGTTCAAAATCGACCGTGTGTATCCATGCGCGGCCTATCATATTGCCTATTTCGTCCCGTTGTTCAGTGCGGGGCAGGCGCCCCGTCCCGAGGCAAACAGAACTTTACTTGCGCGTGACGTATCACTTGTGATCCTACATGCTGCCGTGACATACCATGTTACGCGTTCACACTCTCCTCCATCGACTTTTAATTTGTAGATTACTGAAACTGTTTAATAGAGTGGAAAATTCACCACGATAAAATAGCTGATGTAAATTACATGTTAGACTTTAGTGCATTATGTATTTAAAAACTACCTTGGCTAAAACGGCGACTGTATTGTATGGCTGACAGAAAAAAACATTATCCTTTAAGTGGATTTTAAGAAAGTACCGAATATCATTAAGCATTCATAAATGGATCTGAAAAAGTAATCTGGAAGCAGGTTTTCTCTCCAGGGGAATATCATTAAGTAACATATTGAAAAATAACAACATTTTGGCTACATATTCCAAAATGGCGGCATATTAGTCTGCACCTGTTTTTTGACGTCTGAGATCAAAGTTCTGACAACATTTACAACGTTTTCGATTCTTTTATCAGCAGCATTCTCCCCGGTTGGCTATCTCGTTAGCAATAGGGAGTTGAGAAATTCATTAAGTTATGAAAAATGAGAAATGATGATGTTATTTCTTCTCGATAAACGATAACACCTTGACTTGACGTTAATCTCTTGAGTATTCTACCTTCTACTTTGCCTCGTTTTTACTTACTCAACATATGTTATTGGCATTCATGCATAATACCTGTTCGAAATGGGGCGGTAAATTTCTATGACATGCCCGCCTCTTTTTAAACTTGTGTGAAATCGCAGACAAGAAATTATTTTAAAATCTGGTGGCTCAAGAACAACATATTAGCAAAGTGATTTACAGTATCGGTGATTTGATCTGGTTAATTATATGTGAAATTAAACATCCACCATTATAGGTAGGACCCATAATCCCCTGTGCTATTACAACTTCTATATCAGCAATGTACTCGAAAACGCCCACCTAATGGTCCATGGCTCGGAAGTTGTTGGATACAGATGGCAAATTCGTTAAATAACAAGAAATCGATTCTTAATGATCATCTCAATTTTCAAAAGAGAAAAAGCAAATATTCCGATGAAAGCACACTGGTTTAATATGTGCCAGCTATTTCTAATAAGAATATTTATAGGGTGTCGGCGAGTGCAATCTTTCTGGTTTTGTTTTTGACTTATATCAAAAGATTATTTGAAGTGATGTATGCGTCATTAAGTTACATCTGATAAAATTACGTGATTTAATAGGGTTTTTTTATTGATTTGATGACCGTCAAAATGTAAAAAACAGAATTTAGTTTTAACCTATACAGCATCTGATCTTTGAACGCAACTACTCATTACGAAAGGGCCATAAAGATCATGTTAGTTAAATTGTAATACCTTTAACAAGAGATAAAAACAACCCATGTTAATCGCATCTTAATACATACTTCTTTTAATACAAAACTAGTTCAGTTAGAATCACCAAGCCTAATGGAACTCTGCAGAGCTTCTTCTTCCCTTTATTTACTCTTACGGGCGGGGAGGGGGGGGGGTTGGATGGCCGAATGGTTAGCGGGTGCGCGCTGTACAATAAGGTCTGCCATTGGGTCAACTGGCGTGGTTTCGATTCCCCAGTTGTACGTGACAAGGAGTAGGGTCGCCTGTAAAACCTCGTGGGTTTTTTCGGGTCCTCCGGTTTCCTCCCACTGCTACCCTACGCACAAGCGAATTATTGAAATGAAATTAAACCATATGTTAGTCCCGAAATGACCTAGTTTGTGTTGAGTTGATGTTAAACCCCATTTCCTCTCTCTCTCTCTATTTGTTACATTTTGTTTAATTATAATTATTCTGGGGCTAGAGGAGGTGGTGCCAGTGGTGTAACTTGTGCACCGCTTTAGATCAAGTGTTGTTGTTTCGATGACTCGTTATAGGTTCGCCTGTCCAACCTTGTCGGTTTTCTCCGGGTCTTCCGGTTTCCACCCGCTGCTAAAGACCCCTATGCGCAAGCGAGTTATTGAAATATAATTAAAACATGTGTTAGTCCCGACATTAAAAAACCCATTTCTCTCTCTCTCTTTCTTTTTGACTCGTTAGGAGTTTTCTTGGCGTCCTTCGGTTCCCTCTCCCTATGAAAAAGCCAGGGTCATATGCGAATTATTGAAATATTATCCCCGAAATAACATATTTTGTGTTGAGTTGACATTAAACCCTATAATGTTTCCAATGATATGATCTAATCTGAAATCTATATTGATTTTGACTTGATCATTGTTTTGTGAGATGACCTTTCACGAATAAGTTATGAACAACGGTATAATTGTACAAAATATGATTTATCAATGGCATTTATCCATCTTTCTTCCATTTCAGAATTGTCCGAAATCAGGCTTCAGATCGAGCCAAGTTGGAACCAAGTCACGAAAACGAACATCAACAGAGTCCAACATCAATGACTGGCGATCTAGTTTCTCACTCCTCTTCCTCCCCTAATGGCGACGGTTCACAACGACCCAGTGGTGGTTACACAATAAGTGGAATTCTCAACACACCAACAACAGCGAAACGAAAAGGGGATAGCGATTCAGGTAAATTACTAAAATGTATTTGTATAAAAAGTAAAAATGAGGGGGAAAAAACGAAACATATTTATTGATATGATCTCTGTTATTATGACATACTGCAATATACCAATTTAATAAATAATTTAAGTGTGAAACACAGACTAAGGACACCTGCGAAAATACCACAATACTCAATGATTTCTCAAAACAATTATTTAAATATATTGCTTACCCTGTACGTTTTTGCAGCGAATCAAAACATGTGTGGTTCAGATTCAGAGAGTGTGAATAACTGAATAGAACTAAGACATTGGTATCTAAGAATCCGATCTTGACAACCCAGTCAATGGGTACTTGGTCAAGGACAATCACACATATTGCAAAACATTTCATATTCTGTGAAATACATCAAAGCGTGCTTCTGTTTTCTTTATGTCGATGCCAAATTTCTTCAAGCAATTGTAAATCAATTACGTAGTAAACCAAATGGATACCTGCTAGTACAACTATTATTATATTTAATTATAACATAAATATAATAGGAGAAAAAACATCACACTGTCTTATAATTATCATGAGATAAATATTTTTTTTTTTATTGACTACTTAACAAGTATTTTTTTTAAGATAATGACTCGTTCATGATGGTATGATAACCTAGCACAGTGCAACTCTTATATCTATTATTTCTATGTTGAAGGCTGCGAAAATCGCGGTAGATAAAAGAGAATGTAACACCTTATTCTAAAATCCATCTCTGATAAGGTTTTTTGGGTTTTAAAAAAATAAATGTAACTAATTTTAGATTGATAAAGTCTGGGACATCTGTTTGTTAACCAATCTGATTAAAACACAGATCCTATTTCGTTTCGTTTTTATAATTCGATATTTCGTTTTCTAGGCCTTCACAAATATAAAAAAACGATACGAATATTTTGTACATTGCTTTGCAAATCAACTTTCACCGAAAACAAAAAGAAACTGATAACATATTAACAATTAATAGATTATGAATAAAAATGTCCCATGAAGTCTGAAGGTGATTTCGATTTTTGCATTTTATCGAATCCTGAACATCTAACAATTTAAACTTTTTAGCGAAATGATAAACAATAACCTTTAGATTATCAATAGCAGCTCTAGGGTATTTATAACGTTTTATTGTTTTTATTCCCCTTTAAATTTGTTTGAGAAAAAAGGTCGTTGTATGTGTAACACCTGTGAAATGGTCTACTTTTTAGAGAAACTCTTGAAGATGATATTATATTAAATCTGGGTAACGGACAATTCATTCCCATCTGTACAAGTTATCAATACTGTAATTAAATCATTTTTGTTCTCATATTACTATACAAACTTCACCATGCCACAAAAAACATGTTCGATTAAGAAAACAAACATTATGTTCCCCTGAAAACATCGCTTTTACATCAAGTGCATGAAAAGAGGGAATTTCGTTCTATCATTTGATAATTTTGTTTTGTTTGATAATATCATCGATCGCATATTTTTTATATTTTTTGTCCAATCGTCAAATATTCTCAATTTAGTTTTTTAGTCGGCTATGTGATTTTCTCAAAGCTTCCTTCATAGAAAAAAAAATCATGTGCGGCGAAAACAAAAGCGGGATTACATTGTCTGTTACGGATAGACTTCGATTGTGTCATCCTCGCACTTAAAGGGTTCATGGAAGTTTAAAGCAATTTCCACTAATGTATAGTTAGTTGTGCGTTGTGGTGCCGAGGCAATAGGGCAGGAAATTTGTCGATATTCTGTCTAAAGACTATGGAATATTTATAAATACAGATATTATTATACAAGAGATGCGAAGAGAATCGAGAGAAAAAAAAATCGAATTTAACGGCGTTGTCACATCTGTGTTACGGCGCCATCTTCGAGTAATATTGACCAACTCGGCATGTCAAAGTAAATGTTCGTTCTCATAACTGGCATATGATAAATTTGTCAACCGCCATTAAAGTATAAAGAAAATATGAATAGAAGAATAAGACGTTGGCCTGGCTTTTGTTTTAGTTTGTGTTGAACTACGATTTAATCAGCAAATTGACTCACGGCTGGTAAAACGACTCGATGAATTATTTATTAAGAGGCATATAAGGAAAGTAATGTGATTGTCTCTTCAAGTTGGCCATTTGCTTTCAAAACGTTTCGAATGTCAAGGGTGACGCCTATGATGTTACTGTCGTAATGTGAGAAAAACGCTTTGAAGTTCCAAAGGTCAGTGGACATCAAAGGACCTTGAAGCGCAGGTAGAATTGTCACAGCAATTCACCATATCCGACATTTTAGATTTGTGGAAATAACGCGTGTTTTTGCATACACATTTATATTTAGCTGTCTTGAAGTAAAGAATAGAGAATTACGTTGCGGTTAATCGAATATAGCACGGATTTCTTTTAATGACAATAACTATACCTTTGTTGTTAATTTAGCGCAATTGCTTTGCTTTCAACGTTTTGGTCCTAATAACAAAGGTCAGCTGTATAAACGGTAATATGCGGGCTGTGGACAGCTGACCATCTAAAATAATTTTACAATGAGATATTAAACATTCTTGTATATTCCTACGCATCGGAAAGTAAACCCCAACAATGAATACCTCTTATCTTTTCTACAGGGATTTTAATGTACCAGTGTTGAAATGATTATATTTTTTTAAAAAGCAGTCAACAGCTTGTCAGTGTTTTGTTAAAGCATAGTTGAGCATCGTATTGGCCATGTGTATAAAATTGCATTGGGTCGTCCTTCTTAAGATGACTGACCAAGTGGAACCATGGGTTTGTAAGGCCTTGTCTGGACATCCACAGCAGTTGTCTTCGAGATAACATCAGTATGGAAGTGACCTTGTTTCTCTATAATTATGGTCCTAGCAAGTTAATTTTCCGCATTGTTCTCTGATCGAAATTCACGTCTGCTTTTTGACGTCTGTCACAAGACGTGGGAGACGATGTTTGTTTCACGTACACGTGACATACCAAAAATGAACGACGTCTGCACTTGTCAAACCGTATGCGTTGTACATTACACGTCTTCAGGCTCCATACACACCAGACAAAAGATGAACTTGAGTTGGAGAAGAGTAAAATGACTGAAGTGCGTGTGTCGTTGAGAAAATTGGCACAATACTATATTTACTGGTTTCGCTTTCGTCCTTGTGACTTTATTAAAAGAGGTAAAATTGAATGGGCATTACAAAGACATTTTCATTACCGTCAAAGCTGACTTGTCCGTAATTAACGTCATTCTATATTAACCGCAAAAACCATGCCTACTACTCGCTGTTCACAATACTACAACCACCTTTTCTAAATTTGATACGCCTTGCCTCATGCACCAGAGCGTATATTATTGACACACGAATCCTATCGATAATTTTAATGAAGAGAAAACAATCAATTTCTTCAACTGCTATTCTTTCAACTGTCAATTAACAAGAACATAAGTTTAACGACTGTGGTAATTTTAATTTCCGCCTTCCAATAAGACGCTTGAGACGCCTTTATCTTTAATTAACTGACATCGGTGAGTTGGTCTTCATCCATTTGTTGTGGAAACGAGTTGAAGATGAAAATGGAGTTTATGTACAGTTTTTAAAGCCATATAAAAACCGTTTCTTGAGGATGTTCGAGTATTTTCCTATTGGCAGGTAACCTTTTGTTGCACTGCATGTACTCGAGTACAATAGGCATCTATAACATTAAGACGAAGGTTAATGTTATCAACTATAACAACACTATAGCACGCTAGGCCAATTTCCGCTGAAACGTTACTGTCGATGGAATAGTGGCAAATCGTGTCCGAGCGCTCATTACACTAAATAGCTCGACAGGGGGCGCTACAATCGCTATCGACAATACACACTGGCGTGTTGACTTTTTGCGAAATCGCCTCCCGACATTCATCTTAAAGAGACCAATATTTAGTAATTAGGGTTCGATCATCCCCAGAGAGGAATTATTTCTTCCAAACGAGATTTTGGAAACGATTGATAAATCTATACATTTTACCGCATGCACCAATTATATGGTCATATATTCTCTTATTCACATTCATCTTAAATGTCAAAGTCGGTAAAACCACCATTGTTTCTAATATTTTGATCTTCAGACAAATTTTAAAACACAAAGAAACTTGAGAGAGTCTATGAGATGATAAGTTTTATGCTGGAAAATCTTGAAAGTTCTGAACTGACGCCGGGATATTTGGAAATGTCAAAGTTGAGGATATCTATATCAAGTTTTAAGACCTTTATTGATTTATTTAATGGAATAAAAGCCGTCATAGCGTATAATAATTGATTATTATGGAAAGTTTCCATGCTACACTGTCTACCTAAACTAACGACTACATGGGAAGTTGATAGAGTGTCTTTTTCCCACTAATGGCATCATTGAGCAATCCTTGTTGGCACATCGACTACATATAACAATCAATTTATCAGATTCGATTTTAATAGTTTTCACCTATATGGGGGGTCCAAGTGATGCTAAAAGACATTCTATGAGAAGCCCCCTTGTGCATTGATACTGTTAATGAGAATTGAAATTTATCCGATTGTCAATTAGACAGTGGAAATACCGCCCGTCGAGGACTTAGTCACCTGTTATTGCCCAGCTTTTGTTTTCAACCTTTATATTGGCGGCAGGAAATGCATTTGAAATAAGAACCGATGGAATATGCCGCGATACGAAAACAATCTCCTCTATTTTCAGTTCCCTGACTGCTTACAAAAATATCGATAACCAAGCTCGAGTTCTAATTCGACTTCATTGTATTTTGTTAGTGGTTATAGATTCATTGTTCTATAGACAGCGCAAAACCCAAAGCCTGTTTAAAACGCCAGAAACAAAACAAAAAAAAACCCTCTGTAAGATTTGTCGACATAAACCTTAAGCTGACGTATTTAATTCGACAATAAGACGCTGATAATGTCAGGCCACAAATATGGCGGAGTGATCCATTGAATTGACTTCCGGTAAAGTGGTGTATATTACGCAGCGTAATAGAGTACAGGATACAACGCGAGCTGTTCTATTAAGTACGTCAGAATTTGGAGTCGTAATCCACTATAGATTAAGGAAATTAACTGTAATTAGAAATTTAGTTAGCGAAGGAAAAGACGCGAGTCTGACACCACATCGCGTGCGTGACGCTCTTCCGGAAGTAAGCGTGAATCGTGAATGAGGCCATTTATTTGCTTTCATTTGAGTTTTCCTTTTTGCGTGGATATCTTGAATTTGTCTCAGACTGGGGCGGCCATTACTGAATATCAATTTGTTGAATTGCCGTTTTCTTTTCTTTATTGAAATCGTCTGGTGTTTTAAGATATCACTTAACAAGTTCAGCAATTTTCCCTTTTCCCGAATAAATATAATGTTTCATTGCTTCTTAATGAGTTGATAACCCTTACACAGACCACAATTCTTTTCCCATTTCTGCTTTTGGATAAATAAATAAATTAATTCTTTCGTTTCAGTAACGAATGGAAATAATGATGGAGAAAGACTTGACGTAAGTAAATTAAGGTTTCTTTGACGGACAATAAAATCCAGTACGAAATTTTAATAATAATAATATGTTTATCTCAGTAGTTTTAATGTGAGGTATTTGCCCAAATTTAAATTTTTAAGTATGATAAGCCCATCTACAATATTCATAACGGGAGTGATGAAGAAAAATCCATTGAACTGATCAAGTTTATTTCATATATTTTATTAAATTAGTTATGGTATGAAAGACAAGCTAAAATTCCCCGAACCGAAGATTCAAGCATAGAACAAGCACAAATATTACCCAATGGTCAAGTTGCTGTTTACGCTACCGGTTACCCTCAATTCACTGCTAATCCCTCTACAGAAGTAAAACAAGAATTCCATATAACAACCGGCAATAGTACAGATTCCCATAATTCAGCAGGTGCATACAGCCCCGCTATAGGTGAGTTATAAAATCATAAGGTGTACTTTTATGTTGTAATTTTGTAATATTTTTTCTGCACGACCTAAGTTTTATTTTCGTAATGTTTAACTGAAAGGGTGAATCTATATTAATGTTGTCGTGTCCATGCTTTCTAACTTTTTTTTTTTGTTTGTGCATTTTGAAATATTTTCCAAGGCTAGAAAAATGTAATTACTTACGTTAAAAACTACCAAACGGTATTGACCAAAACGGGACCATCATTATTTTGGTGAACTTTATAGAAATTTGGAATTTAAACTTCCCAAAGTTAGAAGTTTTATGCATTTTCCAGTCTTTTGTTGTTGTTTTGTTGTCCAGTCTTATTAGATAGTGATTTTCTATTGCACGTTTTGTTTTCTTTTTCGTTTTTGAGGTTCTTCAATCTCACCAATTAACACTGCTGCTACCCCAGGCATTAATGAACGAAAACCAGTGATTGTAACAGTTATATCAGAACATTCGGAAACGCCACCTCTCAAATACGAAGAAGGTAAACAAATAGAATTCCCGCTACTACTGTTTTTTTCTTTTCCTTTCTTTTTATGTACGACGCACTCTTTTAATAATATATTCCTATTGCATGAACGATATTATAAACATTGCTGTAATATGTTGTTCATTCTTTCGACATCCTGTATTATTCGAATTGCTCTTCGGTTTTCTGCTTTCTTACATTTTGAGCTCTTTGATGTTACAATTTTTTATAAATAAGGATTCTATCTGCATTATTTCTTGGGGTGGGAGTGGTTGGCTGGGGCGGGGGAGGGGGGTATGATCAGTTAGAATACAAAAAAGAAATCTCTAAAAACAACATAATTTTATGGTGTGATGGGAAATAGGAGCAATTCGAAATTTTTAATAGTGGATTGAACCGATTTGAAATGGACTGTATTATAAATGTTGCATGGTATCTTATTATTTTATCTAAATATTATTTTGAAGTGAATGTGATTTATGGAAGAATGGTAATGTGCAATTGTTGATATTTATTATCTGTCATGTTAGAAGGTTGTTTGGTTTAGAAAAGTAAATTATACGAGGGTGTCCATTTCACAAAACTTCGTCCAATTTCTCCGGAAACAGATTTTGAAAATTCGAAAAAGAACCGCCAATTGGAAGGCGGTACCTATTTACGAAGTTATGTGAACTTGGATATTTATTGTAATGAGGTTGTATATGTTTATATAGTAAACCCTTACCATTATTATTTCTTGCATGGTTGGTAACCCAAACATTTGCATGCCTTGCTTATCCCTTTCCAGCCACCAACAACAATGAACCCTCTCCCACCTCCAAGAGTAGCACCCCAAATATATCCGGAAGTACGACTTTTACCGAGTTGAAACCAGTTCCGTCGGTCACGCCAATCAATCAATATACACCACTTCCGTCTATTGGACAGTTTTCAAGTAAGCACCTGGGTAATCAATTTTAATAGTTTTATTTTTCTTATGTTGGATTCTTTAAAGAATTTAACTGACAGGAACTCTATATTATATGACTCTTGTTTGGTTTCTGGATGTCTATTTTATTTTGTATTTATATTTTATGGTTGCAATATTTTCATTTGGGTTGCTTGTTTGTTTTATGTTGTAATTTATATATTATGTTTTTCGATTGAAATACATTCTTTCAAAAAAAAAACAACCCAAAACACACACACACACACAAAAAAAATATTACCTGTTTAATACATACAGCAAGATTTTACATAGAAGCCATTTGGTTTTTTTTATGATCTATGAACATTTTTTGTTTGAAATTGAAGTAAATAGGACTAAGTTTATTATTAGAATGATAAAGAATGTATTAAATTATCGTCAATGAGAGCGGGTGTCAACAGGTCAGTGTAACACAGTAATTGATGATTGTCAATGTCATAATATGACCTCAATCTGGTGATACTAATTATAGACAATGATGTCATTATTCATAAAGCACGTGTAGGCAATATTGTTTTAACACGTGACTATAAAATTCTATCGTGTCGAGGCAGTTATTGTTGACAACTAGATCAGGGGCCAGAATCTCGCACGTGCCCTATAAAAATTTAATTGAAAATATTGAGCCATTAGAGGTTTAATGAAATTGACTTAAACATGGTTAACAATGGCTTTATTTATACAATATTAGCTGATGCCACCGTGATATTGTTTAACGACAATCTTGTGATGTGTAGTAGCTACTCTTCTTTACATTTCCTTTCGTTTTATTTAATCTGGGTCTATATATTTGTGTATAAATCTAAATGTAAAATGTCCTTTTTCCAGCACCAGCCATTAGTTACAGTACAAACCCTACACCATATTCTAGCCAATCAGCAGTGAATAGCACAGTTCCCCTTATGTTAAATCAAGTTGGCAGTATATATAATACCGGAAATGTACCAGGTTAGTATAACTTTAATGCATGCACCTTTAAACACAAATGGCTGAAAATTAAAATGGGTATGTATCGGATTTTAATTTGAACGACCTTAAAGTTTAAGTACATACCTATTATGTAAATTCTTTCTATACAAAGTAGGTTAAGTAAGCGTTTATTAATGACCGAATGTCTACCAAATTTGCAATGTGTTTGTGATTGAAGTGCACTAATGTTTTTATGATGAAAATAATCGCTATTAGCTCAAGAAATACGAAACGATGGCTATCGGGGATCACGTGATAATGTTTAGCTAATGGAAATGATATGCAAATCTCAATCTTCTATTTGCTATCACATGTAATTCAATAATGGAGGGGAAATGAATTGATACCGTAGCACAAGTTAACTGTCGACTAAATTATAGGATATTAAAGCTGCTTTTGTCATGGAAATTCTGAGCGGCGAGGATAAGCAAACTATCAAGTGGACGAGGCATGTTAGGCAAACTCATAACTCAAAGAGACGAGTGGTCTCCGCCATTTGTTGTAATTACTCAATCACGCAATGTAGTTAACATTTGCCACGTTTGTCAATAATTCATCAAATGACTGTATCACTAGACTTGACTAGCTTCCTAATTCTCAATATGTTATAAAAAAAACATCCTCTCAGACTGTAGACAGTATATTTGAATCTGTGGCATTTAGGATATCTTGTTGGCATTGCAGATCGCATGTATTAAGGTAAAATGGTCTAAAATTTGTGTAATGTCCGATATGCAGATGTCATGATATTTTCGTAATAGCATGGTGTCTACTACATAATTTGATGTTGGCATATAACCAATGCATAAGATTACACATTCATGCATTTCAAATTTCGCATCTTATGAATTTTTCATTCTCGGATTTCGAATTTTATTCATCTAGTTTATAAATGCTTAACCCTTTTCCGGTCGTGATTGGAAGATAACATATCTCAACAAGTCGTAGAAATAATAATGGGGTCCAAAGGGTTAACTGATGAGTTTAGTTGTTGGGTGATTATCAGAGATTTAATTTCACTAATCACTCTATTGGTTAGTTGTTTAGGGAATTCAGGCAGACGAACTAAAAGTAGATGGTCTCCAAGCGGAATTGTATGAGCGCCTGGCAATAAATTTATTGGGAGGGTATAGGATAGTTAATGATTACCGTGAAATCTTGTTTGGACTATGAGGGCACAGGCGTTTGCTGGTAATACAATTACAAGACAATTGGATAAATTGCATGTAATCATATCAATGGAAGATTGTTATTCCCCCACTGAGATGACGGCTTCAGTATTGAGATGTGATTTAGTTTGATGTATTGCCTCGTCTGGTCTGGAAAATAGGCATGTGAGAAGTGAGATTGCCTTGCTTTCACTTGATTATATTCCAACGGTATATCGTGTTACGAGCTGTAGTGATTAGAGCTGATTTCAAGTCTTTGACTGATTACCAACAATTCCCCATCAATACCTCGCCTTTATTCCAATTCTCTCTCGAGATACCAGCCTCTTTTTATTCGGTAATATTGGAATTATATCGCCGACCGGCTCCGATGTTCATCTTGAATGGATCCTTTTGTCGCAAATTTTCTCAAAGGGAGAGAGTAAAAAGCTTCCCAGATCAATAGTAATGTAGTCTTATATCAAGATATGTCAATAGCGAAATAGATTCCTAACTTGAATACACCACTCATTTTTCACTAAGCATCACTCCAAGGCAAAGTCTGTGTTTTGTTTCAAAAGAGAAAAATAGACGTCCCCAAAACCTCTTTATCAGCTATCATAATACATTAAAACATTAAACACACTTGTCATTGGAATGAGATATCGAATATTGCACAATTTTAATATTTTAACGGTGGGATGCAATTTTTAATAAAATGCCTTTATTATAATTGATAAATGTGAATATGAGACACTTTTTCAGGTAAAAATCGATCATGCAATTAAATTGGTTTAAAACTGTGTGAAAGTTTATTGAAAATTTCTTCTGAAAAAAAAACAACATCACCAGAGCACCTTTGGGGTTTTTCTTCGATAATAAATTAATTAACTTATTTTATGAATACATGTATTACATTAGCTGAAAAAGGGTGTCCCATGCCTTGATATTCTCATTACTAATTTAATTTAACTTTAATCTTATCATTTTTAAGTTCTTGCTACAACACGTTTAGTGTTATCGGGCCATTGTTCTCAACCTGGACATTTTTTTTTCTCTTCAAAACTTGTATTCATGAATAAAATGCCACATCCATTAAGAATAAAAACTCCATATTTCTTAATGATATATTTGATATATTATGGCCTTTATGGCATATATCATGTCATCAAAATTCACTTTAGGCAATGAGGCGTTAACTATTAAACTATAAAGAAGGGAATTATTGATACAGATTTCAACAAAATGTATTTACCCGATCTGCTGATAGCCTTCTTCCCCCCGCTTTTTCTCTTCAACAGCTCTTGCTAATATATGACTAGTGAGGACAATTCTAGCACAGCGGGAGACTATCATAACAAATGTGTTGAGATGCGAAATAATATGATCTTTCATATTAAAGCACCCCGAAAGCATTTTTCACGAATTATGAGATTTTTTAATGGCACTCTAGAAGATCTCTTCGGAAGTGAAGTAGCGAAAATCACTTAGATGGACTCGTCATTGTTTTCGCCGAAAGCCGTATAATAATTGGTCCTTAGGGAACCCGTCTAATTTTGCTGCCTCGTTGTTTTACAAATCACAATTCCTATTAATTAGTTAGGCCAGGTTTGGTTTTGTTGTTCGTCTTGTCTCGGCACCCGGTCGGCCCCATTAATTCCCGATAAAATACGATTGTCTTTATAGCTCACTCGTCGCATCTTTTCTATATTTTGTTTCACAAAACTAACTTGGCTCGAAATAATAAGGTTGGAATAATATTATTTAGAGTAGTCGATGTTGAAAGAGTGAAGGGGGAAATAGGCTTTATTGTCGAAGTTTTGATCTAATTTTGCCTGTCACTTGCCAATGAAATGGAAGTTGCTATGAGCCATAACCCAATCAGATGGAAGCCTACGGGGACGTACGATCAATTAAGGCGCTGTCTCGATTTACTTCATTTCATTATCCGCGCGGTCTTGGCAAAATACATGCCGGACGCGCCGTGTTTGAGAAACGTTTAATGGCAATAATGTTTAGGTTGCGAAAAATAATAGTCATTTCTGTTGGCACACACCTCACGGGGGTGAAATGGCGGGAAAACTATTGTAAATTATACCCTTGATAAATATAAACAGATTTGTGGAAACTGACACCGTATAGAAAGACTTGTATGCACCCAGCTGTTATAGCATTGTTTTGGATAATCTGCGGCTAAAATATATTGTCAACACCATATCCCACGACACGCCAAAACAAAAACTAGGTTGAAATCAGATGACTTCTCACTGCGATGTTTTTATTGCACACTATTCCTCCGGGGTTTTCTACCAATATAAAAGTTTGGAGAACAGGTCTTAATATAAATATATTTTGTGGAATAACAAAGTGCGAGCTCCCCTTGGTTAGCCTAATACAACGAAAATTTAAAAAAAAAACCTCTAGCTTTACCAAAAGTATTAGATTTTCTGACATAAGTAATTAAAAAGATAGTCGTTACATAAGAGCTAAATCTGCCTTTTGTTGGTTTTTATTTTGACTTCAAATGTTATATAAATTATTATTTAGACATTTATTCGCACAACAAGCCTATAATGAACTCTGTAGACTATCAGATGGCGCAGATGTTAACGGATTGAAATACGATCGCCATTTAATGATTTAATTTAAAAATGAGGAAGTGACCGAGTCTCGATTAACAAGTAACTTTGTTACGATAATAAACAATCTATGTCAAAACTTCAAACAGTGTGATAACATCGCTCAGAATAAAGAAATTTGAATGAAATTTTCCATATATTATATTTGAATTATATATTTTGCACCTATTTTAGCAAGAACAGCTAGCTCTTATCTAAATCTTACATAATGCATCTTTATTTGCGTTGGTTGAAATGAGTATCGGTTTACGTTTCAAATTTTATATCCACAATTCCAACTAATGGCGAAATATGCCCGATTCTGTGTTCAACAGTCGACAGTTTAAGCAAGCAAAACAAAACCGAAATTAAAATAAGTAAAATAAATCGACTTCCGTTTGAGCTGTCGACTTGAAAACATAATCCAAAAAACACATCAGGTCAATCGAATCCAACTTTTTATTTTGAACTAAATCAAAAAACTCCAGTTCCTTTAAGAATATTAATTGTTGTATATATTTATTTACATAAATTATTTTTTTCTATTTTCAGCAGGAGATTATACAACGTATAACTCAGTCCCTTACACACAATATGGTTCAGCACCCTACACAATAGATCCATCTTACATGAGATATGGAGCGCCAAGTGGCCTTTTAAGTGAGTATTGTTATTAACTTGCCAATTTCTAAAATTAAATTTATCGTTTCCATAATAAAATAATTCATACTACAAATTTAAATTTAAAATTTTGATTTTAATAAACAGGCTAAGCTTATTTAGTTAGATATATGAAACGATTTCTATTTTAAATGCTTCCCGATCGTGTAAAGACTTTAAGTCAATTGAGCAAAAAGTAAAGCTTTTTCTAACCTATATATACTAACAGTGTGAGGACAGAAAGAAGAACTAGGCCTTTTACTAATTACAGACACACCCTACTACTACCCACATAGTGCCCGAACAGATACTACCACGGCCATAGGCAAGAGTTAGAAAGTCAACTACTGTCACCACCATCTTTATTACGTCATAAGACCACTTCTCATCACCACAGATAGTCTCCGGTTAAAACGATTGGATAAAAATCGTATGCATCTGGTGGAACTTTCTTTTTCTTGGAGACATGCCAGATGACATGGAATAAAATGACGTAATTCATTGATCATACAACACTATACATTCAAGTTCATGGGCGTAGCTTCGTGGTAGAATTGAATGGGGTATTGCAGTTGACTGAAAACAAAATGGCTGACATTAGAAGCACGTGTTGATCATGTGATGCAGATTTCCCACTGCTCCTACGTGGGTGCGCCCATAACATGATTTCAGTATAACAATGAAGAACTTTATGTGATATGCATTACTCTATTTATATACATGTAGGTAGTATTTACCATTTATATACAAAATGGTTGAAGACAAAGTCCCATATATCTAGTATATATACGCAATTTATATCATAAATAGAATTATATATAATTATATAAGTACAAACAGAGAGGGATATATATATAGATGAACCACACGAGAGGAGTTACATATATATCTCTATATATATAAATACAGAGAGATTATTATGTGTATTATTTATTTAATATTGAACAAAAAAATATTAATTAACATGGCATTTTGTTGATTTGTTTGTGCCATATAAAGAAAAAAAAATAAACCGCTTTGACATCTCCTGAGAACATCCATGTAAACAGCATTTAGTAACACTTCATACCGCGTGGTGTTCATATATACTAATCAAAATATTATTTTGTGTGCAATATGTAGGTAAAACATTGTCATTGTGTAAAAAAAATCAATAATTTACTTCATATAATAACCATTTTTAATCTTAGCCAACGCTTGCATCATTTAAGCACATGACAAAGCTACGCACGTCTTTTTCCTTGTATTAAACTAGTATAGCAACTGTTTTAAAATGAGAGAAACAATTTTATTTTCTATAGTTTGGCGATTATTAATATTTAAGTCCTAGCCTATATCTACATACGGTTTTAAGTTTTCAAATGCTACCTTAAGTTGTAAACAATAAAGCAGTGAAATGCGTTTAGCTGCTTTTGTAATTGGCTAAAAATAGAAGTAAGCTCATTGTTGTCTAGCTATATATGGAATTGAAGTTAGCTATATGGCCAGTAAATCGGATATGACGTGATTAGCTAGCTTCCGTGCCCTAAATTAGACCAAGGGTTTAACGGAAAAGCTAGGAACCAGATATGAGATGAGACTGCTGGAGCTAATAATTGGGTATGAAGTGGTTATCTAGCTTTCATACCCTAAATCAGACCAAGGGTTTAAACGGAAAAGCTAGGAATCAGATATGAGAATGTAGAAGCTAATAATTAGATATGAAGTAAGATATATTTAGCTACCATTGAGCTTAACTATAGCCAACATTGGGATTCTGAAGAATTGCTCAAAGTAATTATTTAGTATATACTTACTATATAAGAAATGGTGTAGATTAGTGTACAATACGAAAGTAGAAAACATGTACCAAACCGAACATCTCGGTCACTTTGCCGGTCCTCGGGTATTTAAACATTTTGGACATTTGCTCAGTTTTTTTTTGCATAGTTTATTATTACAATTATTATTATTTTAACCAGACAGAATATATACATCTACATATATGTATGTCTGTAATTGTATTATAATCACTGTAGATATTTTTAATAAGATAATGCTTCATTTGTTTAATTGTTATGTGTGTAAAAAATAAACAGTCTTTTTGAGATTATATATAGACCTAAACTCTACTTCGTTGGAGGGAACGAATACTCCTTCGATAAGACTACGGGCGCCCTCTATTGTGTAAGTTCCCCCATGAAGGGACATAACTCTAAGGGCCTCGAGTTTTATCGACTTGTTACATAATAATTTTCTTGCCAATATTCATTGTTTGCATTTGTATATATGTGTGAAAATGGCTCATAAATTGAAACGTCAGTAATATAATGCGTTTCTGTTAGAAATTTCAGAAACCAATCGACACATTAAGTTAGTTAGAAATCCGAACACTTTTAGCTCTTAGTTATATACCACACATTTATAAGTGCTATAAACTGACATCGTCTAATATGTATATAATGAACATATTATCTAGATTTTTCTATGTTTTTTTCCAATTGTGTCTCGAAATAAACGGAAAACAGAAAAAGGAGAGAGTGCCAGTTATTATTAATATCAATAAATAATATTAATAACAATAAAAACTCACTTGTACAAAATTCATTAATTAACACCCTTGTTTGAAGTATTTTAATCTTATTGTTTTCTGTCCTTTATTTGACATATTATGTATTATATTAAGACAATTTGTTACTATATATATATATATAAACTGCTGAAATATTTGTGTTCCCTTTTGTTCTCCATAACATTGTCTTAGTTTTAACGTTAACTTCTCTCTTTTTTTTTTACATATTTTAACCCGCACAAAACATGTAAATGATATCAATACAAAGTTTTAAAAACTTATTACACTCATTGCAAGTATCATTTGAAATAATACCAATTTTATTTTTAGGATTATTAGTAATTTCTTCTTTATCAATAAACGAACATAAGGCGGTCATTTTGTGATGATCTGTAAGATGTCTCATATTCCTGTCAGTATATTTTAAGAGTTAAATGTTATATGTGTTAATTCAGTATTTGTTCAAATGTTTTTAAGAAACCATTGCTTATTATTATATCTACAGATACCTTCTTCACTATAATATGTATAGTGTGAATTTCATATGGAATAAATCTCATATTATTCTTTTATTAAAATAGCTTGTCGTTGTTTTTTGGGTTTTTTTAAATTATCTTATGTCTGTTTTATATATATATTTTTAAAGGATCCTGGGGGGTTTATTTTTCAATTTATGTCGGTCGATTATCGCAAATCCAGGCATCTTTGAAGATGCTGAACCATTCCTGAAAAAATATGTTAACTGAAAATTACAATCTTACAACAACTAGATTGTCGCTCAAGTTCGTTGTCTTCAACTATATGCCCCACCCCCATGTCTGGCTCCAACAAGAAGTAGAAACCAATATTTTATAGGTTCTTCCCTCTGGAAAGAACTCAAAAGGTGGGCACTACCATTGGTGATTTAATTTAATAATACAGTATAGGACACACCAGAGCCGGTTGCAGTAAATGCGAGGCCAGAAGTTACAGGATATTACAATCTGGTTAAAGCACAGATCCTATTTCGTTTCGTTTTTATAGTTCAAAATTTCGTTTTACTAGTCTTTACTACACTTGGATCTGGAAGAATTGTTATTTAACTCGTGTTCTGAATGGTGTCAGGGATAAGCCAATAAAACGGTCTGTTAATCAAATGTCTGACGTCATAGGTCAAAAGTTGGTCTTTTGACCCCTGACGTGACCTATCGCTATAATTTGTCAGATCTTCATGTAGTGTAGGCCATCGAAAGTAGAAAAAAACGAAAAGAAATATAGATCTGTATTTTAATCAGATTGAGGATATTAACACATTGCAGGATATGAAATACTTCAATCAGGCCTATATTCATTCATTTAAAACCAACTATGCTTTACTTCACAATCTAATTAGTAAAATTGATTGATACCCGAAAAAAGTTGGTGACCTGCAGGTCCCTTTTTCTCGTGCGACACCCATTTTGAGGAAATTGGTCAAATGTGTCCAAAACCGGCTCTGCACACAGCTGGCTATAAAGCTAGACTCGTAGCCCTCCACCTCCCCTGCCATTCAGCCTACTGCTGTAAGCTGAATATGAGACGTTTTCCGGGCACATAAAAATTTGAGTATTCGTATGAAAGACATTGACAGTAATTTGTTGAGGGTATATCAATTCATTTGATGTTCGTAGGTATTTCATGGAATGAGTACCAACATGCCCCCTTCCCATTCTGGCGTAAATGTAAATATTGATTTTAGAAATAAAACCACCTAGGTTGCATTAAAATAAACCTTTCAGTCTGGGATAATCCGTGTAATTTAGCAATATACACTATTTTTACCAATTCTGAAAGATCATGGAAGAAAGTGGTTATGTCAGTGGCGCTTTTCAATGCGTTATGTATTCTGAATAACTCACAGGGGCGTAGCAAGGTTGTTGCGATGGGGGTCTCCATACCATCGCTATGTTTTACGACATTTTGTTAAAATAGCACAATGAAGGAAGAAATAAGCAAAAAAATGAACTACATTTTAAAATGTACCAAATACATTTTATAACAAGCATAACTTTAAAGTTATCTTTATATTTGTGGAGCAATATAATTTATAAATCTGAAAAGGAGGGGAGAGCATAATTATATTCTCTCTTGTACTTGCCTTGCCACCGAATGACCACAGAACTATAATACCTCATTAGCCACGTCAAGTAGTATAAGGTCTTCTACAAAGAGCAAGCCTCGTGCACGACACTCGTTCTCATCATTTAGACCGATGACGCGTGACACTGGACGCAAATACAGAGACCGTTAGTATTATTATAAAGCGTGCAGCAGCAGTTACAAAAATATCCCCGGATTAAAACTCTGTCCGAGATCAATGAAAAATATGCAAATGAGACGACACAAAATTATACGCAAATAAAAGTAACATAGATTACGAATATCAAAATGGCGAATAAGAGTGCATCGCCAATGACAGCTGGTAAAGATGAAAATGATATATTTTCTATATTATACAATGTGAATGGTGTTGTTATTATTACATCAAGATAAACTTCAACAATAAAGTAAAAATAATACAGTCCAATATATTTTGATATCAATCTTATAAAACTACTCTCATTACCTTCTGTTAACTTCCAATATTTTACCGTTAATCTAGTCTTGTATTTAAATACAACAATATATTTCCCGAATCTTTGATTCTTCTATTGTTAAACCAATACACATCTCGGGTATTTCCTCTCTGGTCTTAAACCACAGAGGATATTAAAATATTCGATTTTTTTCCTCACGGTACAGCTTTATACTCTTTTTAAAAGTTAATTTTCAAAATATGCATTGAATAGAAAACAGCTTGTTGGCACGCGAGCTGGAGAATTGGAAAGTTTCAGGTGCAAGCTTGGTTAGATTTTTAATCCCTGATTAGAAATGGAGGGTCACAGATTATTTGGTTTGCAGGTTGTTTGATTTATAATATAAATTCCCACTTTAATATAAAAAAAACAGCATCGAATCCAAGCTATTTGTATTCGTGCATAGCCATGGGAGATAAAACGATATAAAATAAATATGAGCTTACTCCTGATCACTATTCTTATTACAGAAGTTTTTATTGCTCTTTCAATCCCATTGTTGTGCAACTCGCTTCAATATTCAACTTCAAATATTGATCTGTAGCAAAACACGAATTTTCTCAACGATCTTAATAGTAACTCACAATCCAATCACAAGTTATCGCCCTTGATTTAGATGACATCATCCATGTATATTTATTACATGCAGCTCTTTTTTCGTCCTATTCGAACGACTAACTCTGTTCTTGTCACTCCCGCAGGTACAATCCCGAAGTTTCTTATCGGTCCACTCCGGATTCAAATCCTTGACACTCTATTCGAGAGTGACCAATGTCCCCAACTTCTTTCTAAAAAAACCTATAAAAATATGATTTAAAAGACGGAATGGAGTTGATAAACGAGTTATCGCCCCTTGTAATAAAAAAAAACTGTTAAATTTATGTGTTCATTATTCTTATTTCGATAAATTAACATCAAAAGCAACATAAATTATAAATTCTATAATGTAAGAATTCTGATAATTAATAGAAAATTTTACCATCAACACTCCATTCGAATTTCCCATGCAAAAAGCAAATATTTGAATCTTACAATGCAATGACGAAGAAGTTTCATCCTACAAAATAAAAGTTTAATATTTTTGAGTTAGTAAACATTACTTATATTGGATTTGTTTTTTAACGCGGCAAATAAATATAAATATCTCCAAAGCCTTTTGTGACAGTAGTAGATAAATCGTTACACGCTTTAATAAAATTTATTTAAATAGTTGTAATTTCAAGCACAACCAACTTTGAAATCCGCGACGTGATTTCTTTTACCATAATTCCGATTTCACATAGATAATGGTATGATAATTAATATTTCATAAACCAAGCCAATTACCACTCTTTTTAAAACATGATCCTTTCTTTAAATCTCTCTGCTTAATTGATGTATGTACCATTGAACAATGAACATTGCTTTTAATATCTAAATTATTAGTCTGTCGCAATAATACCTGTCATTTTCCCCATTTAAACTTTTATATACCTGTGCTGGATTTTAAGGTGTACGTATATATCGACTGGATATAAGAAGGTGATTGGTATAATGGGGTTATTAATAAAATATCATCCAGTCCTCTTCGTTTCCATTCCATTGTTGTCTTCATCTTTTCATCGCCTGCTAATGATTTTGTCACTGGCACGACTTGTCATCAATAATGCATGACACGGTGTTAGTGTCAAATAGAAATATTATGCGAGTAATATGTCCTGTAAATTATAAATGTAACTGATAATGAAGATAAAAAAATTCTAGTAGGCCTATGAGTATACCGAGTACAAATTGTCCTTGAAATATTTTGATATCCGGAAGCAGACTACTGAAGGTCTTTAGTATAGGACAATAACACAGCTTGTCAGGAAAACAAACATCTTTGTGTGAAGAGGTTACATAGATTTCATAATACGTTTAATTTTGATTATTTAATATATTTGGAGGAAGTGACATAGATTAAGGCCATGCTTTCTATTGTCTGGATGGTCGTCTTACTTCCTGGTTGCATTTTAATTAACTTCAAATAGTAATAGCTTATGTTCTTTATATAAACGAACGTCGTCTTACGGGAAAGAAATGAAATGGGATTTAGCGTCCTATTTGTCTGCTCCGACTGGCCAAATGAAGACGAGCATAGGGCGGAGGGCCTGACAAGGAGAACTGTCTAGTTGCTCGGTGGTACGAAAAACCGAGGTCCCGTGTGCACGTAAAAGATCCCTTGGCAGTTGGAATTTAATATAAGATTAGGCCATAGTGCCGTTCTCCGGGCAAAATTCCCCGCATAGCACACCGTATGGCATATACCCGTCTTCATTAGCCCAGTCAGAGCAGAACAGTAGGACGTTAAACCCCATTTCATTTCATTTCTAATGAAGACGACCTACGAGAAAGAATACCTTAATCAAATCTGACGTATCTGACTCTTTACCTTGATCCAACTGAGATGTTTAATGGCCATTTGTAGGGGAGACTCAGAAGATAGAACCATGTTTTTGTCATTATATTTCCGAATCCGTAAGAATGTCGAGTTTTTTGGGGGTTTTTTTTTTTGGGGGGGGGGGGATATTATATTCTGTCACAGAAATACGTTTCATTATTCACCGTCCGAAAATGGATCATTTACCTTTCTGAACATGTATTTCCGATTTCTTTGCGTATTAAGTATAAAGTAGACAGATCGCTTATCGATATTTCTAATGCGATATCAATAAGTAGTAATGTTTTGCGTACAACATCCCGCGTAGAAAGTATGAGTTACATCTCTAGAAACTAAACTCTCGATTTGTGAAACATCAATCTAATTAAAATATAGATCTATATTTCGTTTCTTTTTTTATACTTTCGATGGCCTACACCAAGTGTAGTAAAGACAAGTAAAATCGAAATTTTGAACTATAAAAACGAAACGAAATTGGATCTGTGTTTTAACCAGATTGGTGAATCATGGGAGGTGATCCAAAGGATTCCTTGTAAAAGTGTCCGAAAATAAAACTCCGCAGCGTCG